GAGTGCTTGGGGACTCACCTGCGCTTGCCCAGTGATTGTCAATGCTTCCCATCCTCCCTACCCATCCGGGCCAGCTTTAATTGTTCCTTCCCCTTTCTGTATGCAAATATCTTGACTTATATGCCAGGCCAATACACTGGCATATATATCTACTGCTCTTCTTTAATAACAGAGATTTTTAGTTTATGTGCACTAACCCTTTTACAAGTAGGACAGGTTTTAAAAGCTTGTGACTATGTGAAGTGCAGATATAAAACTGTATAAAGCTGAGCAGTCATTGGTATCATAGAGAGCTATTTTATTGCCAATGGGCTACAAAAGAAACCTCTAAGCAAACTGGTATCAAATCATGCATTTATGTGTGACCCCCTAACAAAGGGGACAGCGAGTACATGAGTATCTGAGAGAGACTTACATGTGCACGTACTCAAGGAAAAAGTAAGGAGCTACACTGAATAGCAATTACTTGTTCTGCCTTGAGGGACCAAATCCTTATCTGAGTTGCAGAAGCAGAGCATGCCTAAGTCTACTGAGAGTTGTTCTATCATAAAGAACTGGACTCTGTCTTGCTATTTTTAGTGTTTTCTTTCTATAACACTTTCTTCTACACCTTGTTTCTTTAGGAAAGTAACTCCAAAAATGGGGACAGATTTTGGCAGATCCAAGGGAAAGTGGTCAAGTAGTTTCGACAAAGCCACAAGTCATTTAGAGTCTTTGGCAATTTCTCTATTAAAGGAAACTAGCTTCAAGTAGGGGGATAACGAATTAGGACACAGATTCTTGCGGCAAAGCTTGGCATTAAATTGTTATGTTCCCGCATGGTGCGGGGAGACATATTGTGTCATTGACATTTTAATGATCTTTTGTCTGGAGCTCTACTTAAAAATCAGTGGCTTGATGAGGCTTATCACTGAAAATACTTACACTAACTTAGTGACAGAATGGGGAAAGGTGTGCACAAAATATTACAAAAAACCTTGGTCTGGCAAGCATAAGCAAAGGAAAAGCATAAACTTCAACCGTCCTTGCAGTCCATGTAGCCCTGCATCTGGTTTCTCCCACCCTCTTCTGGGGAACAGAGAACCACACAGGAAGAAGGCAGTCAACTTGCTGAAGCAGTTAGCAGAGCTGACTGCTGGTGAATAGGGAGCTTGTCAATGAAAAATATGTTCTGTGTAGGGAAGGGCCCTAGTTTGAGTACAGGTATTAAGAGCCAGCTGCTCTTACAGCTAATTGCAAATCTTGTCCTTTTCAGTCATCCACACTGGAAGGGGAGAGGAAAAAAAATGCCCCTCTACCCTTAAGTTATCTCTAGTTTCACTCTGACAAACACAAGTTTATACGATTGAGGAAAAAAGGGTTAGAAATTAAGGAAAAAAAGGGCTGTCTTTTTCATGACTGTCATTAACTACGCAGGAGGTTCTTCAGTCTGGGGCTTTTTATTCCACATCTCGTTTCCACTGTTCTGCAGTAGTTTGATTTGAAACATATAAAGATAAAATTGCTCTTTAACCTTATATTTGTCTATTTAAGAAAATATTAGCAAGGGACTCACGAAGCTCTTTCCCTGCATACTGTTCTAAAAGAAACAGCCTAAACCCAAGAGCCATAAGAGCATAAATGGCACATCCTTGTTCGTTCTGAAAGTTCAGCCAGGGCTGGGGGCTCCTGGAGGCTAGCAGGTCCATTTCACCAACACCAGTCAGGGGCCAAGACAACTACAGTGCAGCTCTAGCCCAAGGCATCTTTATCCCTGGGTTAGGGATGAACCAGACAGCCTAAACTGAAATGGGAGACCTGGGTTGAGGAAGGATGGGGGGAGGAAGCTTCATGGGAGGCTGGGCAGGTTGAGTAAAATGCCCTCAGGGCACTGGAAACAATTAAGAGAACTGCAGTAATTTACTCTACTTGTCAAGATGGATGCTTTAAAATTAGTTTCCCCTATTAAGGGTTTAAACAGGCTTTCAGGGAGTCTTTGCCTACTGATTTAATTCTATTTTTTTATCAGGCATTGCTGCACTGTTTCCTGAGTAAATCCTACAGCATTATGCTCATAGCAGTAAGTAAGCAGTATCCTACCATTAGCAAACTCAAATGACAGAAATCATGTAATTAATTAACATACATCATTATACCATCCAAAATGACCAGAGAATGCTGCTGAAACATCTGTGAGGCTTCTGGAACTGAACTACAGGTATCAGCTTGGTCTGCTGGAGCTCATTTGCCAATAAAAAAATCTGCTTTCAAACTCCCCAGAGCACTTCTTTATCATATTATGGTGGAGACTAAGTTTTCTGCATGACAAATATCGTTAGGCTGCAAATAATAATTACCATTGCTAAATCCTTAAGTTTGCTGATTTATCAGTGCAGAGAAGAAATTTCAGAGTTGCTACTGAAGTTAAAAGCCTTATTTAGCATACATTGCCCAAAAATTACTAACAGCCAATGTAAGAATTTTAATGGTGTCTATCTCTACACCACTGGAACATGTACATCTTTAGCTAACGTCTCCTCTCCTGAATGAACGCTTCTTGCACTTCTTGGTCATAGTAAGATTTCCACCCCGCCTCCAAAAATAACCTAAGAAAAAAACTTCACAAAGGAGCACTGTAACACTGATGCTTTAGAGTGTTTACTAGAGAAAGCTACCCAAATTGCTAAAACTGAAATCAGAGCTCTCTTTCTAAAGCAGAACAAAGCTGGCACATTAAGTAATGACTGTATGTCTCCAGTTCCCTCTGATGCAGGCAGATATAGCTTCAGACTTCCTATGGGCTTGGTATCATTCACAATTTTGAGTCACTAGATGGTTTCAAAATACCTTTGAAAACTGTAATGTTTTTTGTCAGTTACCTTAAGCTTCTTGTTAATAATGGTTTGTACTAGCTACTCATGGCATCTTGTGCTATCATCTATGAGATGCTATAGCTACTATTCAGAGGTAACTATAGATATGAACTATGCTGTGTGAATTTGAAGTGAGATATGTTCTCTGTCCCAAATACTTTAGGTTAAAGAGAGGCACAGTGTAAGCTACAGAAAAAGGCACAAGTTAAAGGAAGAAGTGTGATAAAAGGAAAGAGAAACTAATCAAAGGTCAAGATAACAAATACATGCAGAAGGTTTTTAGATGTGCAAGTAGAATTTCGATAACATCAGATGGATGTAAGAGGGATCCTTAAGTGGGCAAGTGACATAAAGAGGGGAGAGGAGAAAGGAGGAGAGAGAGAGACTGTGGCAAGTAAACATTAGAGTGAGATTATGAGACAGAAAGCTGAGGACAACACATTTGCTAGTTGTAATAAAGATAGTGACAAGACAGCTGATCCCAGAAGGAAATATGAACTAGATTTCCTGCTTGACTCCACTGGTTCCATGAGAAGAGCCACGGTGGTGAGCTACAGAAGGCCACTGTGGTGTCCTGTGCTTATGCCAGGTTTTGTGCTATCAACAATCCCTGGTGTGTGTTTTAGGATGGATTTGGGGATTCTCTAACTTCATGTCCTTTGGAGGCCCTTGTTCTGACAGCACTTGTCAGTGTGACAAGTGGGACTACTGACCCAATGGTTAAGCTTAACCAGTGCAACTGCCAGAAACAAGGAAGGGATGGTATGGCACAGAATTAGCTCAGTGACTTCTCAGATGCTACCCAAGGCCACCAGGGGATCTAAAATTACAAAACTGGAGAAATGTTACTCCTAGTCCCCATTTTTACCAGATCTAGTCTAACCCTGATAGCTAGCCAGCTCTCTCAGTTAGAGCCCTGTCCTCTTTCAGCCCCTAGAGCTACATAATTGTTAAAAAAACACCCCACCCCTTCTCTGTTCACATCTATTTTTTCCCAGTGCAAGCACCACAGGCAGCAGGTCCCTGCTGGGTTTTTTGGTCTGATGGGCTTGCACTGACAGACCTTTAATTTCTCTAGCTTCATTTGCATGAGCAGGCTAGAAACTCAAGTTAAGTGTAATGCATAAGCCCAGCTTCACCTTTTCAAAACATTCAGCAACACCTGGAGAACAGGAGCAAGGTCGCTGATAGCTGCTGCTGGAAGGGCAGAGTGGTAAATGTGTCAGCTAGAAGTAATAAAAAGTATAACCCCATCCTGTGGAAAACAGAGTGCAAATATATCTGTATCATGATGCTTCTGCTGCCCCTTTTCAGTGAGCAGCCTCTGTAGTTCCCATGTGTGTAAATTGTGTTCCTTGTGTAACTGCTTCTGTTTACTCATCCTTTGGATGCTTTGAGATGACCAAGTAGCTGCACATCTATGCTCGGACATGGATACCTTTTGGCTTTGGGGAGTGCTGAACCACAGAGTCACGCTCACTGTGGCACAGCCTTTAAGGAGGTCAGTATGGCAAGTGTTAAACCAAATGGAAGACAATAAAGCCAGATGGAAGACAATAATCTTAAGTGGAGGAAGACAATAAATGGCAATGGATGTTAGCCACTCTAAGGACCTCAAGGATACAATAAAGCTATAACAATAATTGCAGTTTTAACTGTTGCTTACCCTGTATCAATCAGAGTAATTCATTCCAGTTACTTATTACACTCAAACCACACTAAATCAAAATCACCAATAGTGTGAATTTATGTGTTTTGCTCTGGAAGCATTACTGTTCTAGGCAGGAAAAAAAAAATCAATGGTACATTTCAACACAAAAGCCATCTGAGCCTTTACTATAGAAGTAATAAGGCATTTATTATTTCAAGAGCCCTGCATTCACAATATCCCCTTTTTCAAAGAAAACACCCCTTCCTTCCCATTTTTTATGAGGCTAACTTGTAGTATGTCACCACTATGAGACTTCTGAATGTGTTCAGAACAAGACAATAATAGTAAGCCACAGATGAATGATGTGTAGTAAAAATCAATAAACCTTATAACTATTCACTAAGGGAACTGATTTTATGCCTATAAAAATAAAACAATTATAGCAATATTAATGGCAGATTCATCATAGTAATATAAAAAGTCCAAGTGTGCTTGTCTGTTGGGAATCTTTAATTCATCCTTCTGTATTAAGTATTCACAAGGTAGAAGAAACGGAACTGACTTCAAGAACAACCTTTAAGTTGCAGTAATTCACCCTGTCAAAAAAACCACCAACAAACACAAAACAAAAAAAAAACAGTAAAACTTTAAAAAACAGTTTTGACAATCAACGTAACTGGGATATGCAGAAAAGGACCAAAATTAAAGCCTCAAATACTGACCAGTAAATCTGATTTTTTTTCATGTCATGATTAGTGATTTCATATTACTATGTGCTGTGTTAACCACATTGTAACAAAACAATATAAATATTTTGTGGTAATGCAGATTAAGCACAGCAAAGGAATTTTTTTTTTTTTAATTGACAGCTCCTCTGCTTTCAGGCATCTATACGAAATGGGGGGAAGGGGGACAATACAGGCATAATAGGAAAAATTTGCCTATAAGTTATAGCATACAGAGCTGCTCTAAAACAGGTATTAGAGATTTCAGTTCCACTAATACCACCCAAAGTGTTACTATGGGCCTTTTTTGAACCTATCAGGGTCAACTGAAAGAGGCCCACAGCCATCTGGCCTGGGCTCCGCATCGCCTGCTGGGACAGGACAACAGCACAGGCCCAGCAGGAGCACAACTTGTAGGTGTGTCGTTGCTGCAGCCTATCTACAGCTATGACACATCTTTCAAAGTGGCCCATAGACACCCAGAAATTTAAAAAAAAAAAAAAGCAACTTTTTTTCTTTATTCTGATTGCCGAATTATTTAAGGCAAGTAAAAAAATGAAAGCATTCGATATACGTTTTACATAAAATAAACTAGATTACAGCATAAAACAAGTAAACAGGTAATGGCATTAAAGTCTCTCCTCTAAATCTGGGTAATTGTAAACATTAAAAAAAAGACTGCAGGACTATTCAAGTAATAGAACAATCACAGATGTCTTCTTGTATGCAGGCTATTAGGTTATCTGCCATTCAAGATTATCAAAAAAGACATTTCATTATTCACAGATGCTCATTATCTCCATTTAAAATCTATACATTATATACAACACAGTTTTTGTGGTACTAGAATCCCCATGCCTTCCAAAGGTATATTTTTCACAATACACAATTACAATGAAACAGTGAATACAGTAACATTTTACACTGATGCATCTTAATAGGAACCACCAAATAGACATCTACATTGTACCAAAGTGTCATCACAGTTAGCCTCTCTGAGAGCTTGTGGGAAATATCAGAAGGGTATGCAAGGTTCAGGCACACTGATACATAACATTATTTATTTACAATTGGAAAGAAAAAAAAGAAAAAAAGAAAAAGAAAAGGAAGAAAAGAAACAACAGCCTTTTGCGGTTAACGCTTTCTAAACGTGACAAATACATATCTCCATTTACTGTGTGGTTCGCAACTTAGCAGCAGACCCTGTGTGCGAGCCTTGGTACTGATACAAAAAAAGTAAAGAATATATATATATTTTTATATATATATGTATATATATATATACGCATATATATATATATATAAAAACAGAAGTCTAATTACAGCAACATTTGTTACTCTGTGATAAAATCTGCAATTTACAAAAATGAAATGACTGGTTTTTGCCTGCCATTAAGGCATTTCAAATTAACACCATGGAACTGATGTCTGTAATAAAGCGCTTCCTCATGTGATCCAGTCACATGACAATGTTCATCCCCAAATTCATCATTCTCTGAAAAGAGAAAGAAGAATGTTTTAGTAGGCAGCATTCCTTCTTGTTACTTTTTTTCTGCACTTTGGATACATCATGAAATGAAATCTGTACTAGTATTCTCAAACTCAAGCAGCAGAAATGGCAAGCCATGTCCTAATCCCTCCCCTGCCAGGAACAACATACGGAGAAGTAACCTGTGCTGGAAGTTATCTTATGGATTCTGATGCCCTATTATCCATCACCTCTTTAAGGGCTACAAACCTTTCTCACTCAAATAATTCCAGCTAAGAGCCTTTCACGGTTGCTTGTTTTCAGAGTTAGCTTTCAGAAGGAAATCCATAACCCTGGAATTTTCAGCACTATTTAATACATTAAACTCTGAGGCTTAACATGGTAGTGATGAACAAAACCCTAATTTTAAAGACGCTTTGGGTTTTTCACTTGAGATGGCATCATTATAATACAGGAAAGTCTCTTTTCTCTTGAAGAGTAATGATGATAATTGAAGAGTAAATTCAACTGAAAACCTAGAAAATAACTGAGCAGCAAATGTGTGGAAGTAACTTAAATAAGTCATCACTAACGAGCTCCCAAGCAGACCTCTCTGAAAGGAAAATCCGCAAACGAGGTAGACCTGCAGAAGTTTTCCTGGTCATAAATAGAACCAACCGAACATTAATTTTAAACTAATTTTATAAAAATTTGGATCTTACTATTATCTTAATATTATTATTATCTTAAATTATATTTCATAATCACTTGTTTTATCTTAATACAAACACTTAAAGGATTCTCTATGGAAAATCTCAGAAGACAGACTACTTATTCTTTCCTAATGATCTATGTTACAGTTAAAGGACACAACTAAGGAAAAATGTCACCCTAAAGAGAACAAAACTGCAATTAACCCAAAATACCAAGTTTTTCCTCAACCTTAAAAACTATGTCATATAATGAACTGTAGACCATCAGGCTAAAAAATCTAAGATTTGCTTTCTCCTCTCAATGATATGATATATAATTTACTGGCTATTTACCTTCTTTGTGCAGGAAACATACCAGATGCAGATGCCTGTGCAGCCACCTGCTGAGTGGCAACAAGGGCAGCAGAGGTCAATCCTGAGGGAAAGAAGAAACAAAGGAATGTTGATGTACGTCTGGTTTTAATGGATTTTTGTGCTCAAAGAAATCGTAGGAAGCATCTCTAGGGCAAACAGCCAGAAAATAGTGGGGCTTAACACTATATAAATGGCAAATATTCCAGGCAACATCGTTAAGAGAGTCTGTCCAGTGTGATCAATATACCTTTATTTAATAAACTGAATTGTCCTTGACAGATATTTTACAAGAAATTACAGCATTTCTACTTGTACTGCATTCCTTTCCAAACACTGCACTGCATGATGCTAAGTGGTTTGTATGAGTTCCTGAGGAAGCTCAGTAGAAATTACAGGTACTAGGAAACAACAAGAATCAAAAGACACAGTGAATTACAGAAACGACATGCCAGCTGCTCAGAATACAATACTTTCATAATAAGTTACAATTTTTACAGTTTTGCCACTGAACAAGCATAATGCATCCCAAAAGGCACATGGAATCACTGAATCAAACTGAGAAATGTCAAGACTTTTACACAGGAAAAATAAGTACTGAGGCATCAAGTGAACGTAAAGAAATAATGTCATTTAGCCACCGACTGTGGTAGCACATACTTTGCTGCAAGGGAGGAAATCTCTTTTTCATTCAGCCAGAGTCCACAGTTAGAGAAAAAACATTCAAAGACTGGTATAAAACCTAGGGAGAATAAATCGCATCTTACTGTGCTTTTTCCCTGACTGCAACTTTGTGCACGGCATTTGCCAAAATACAAAGAGTCCTCTTTCAGATGGTCAAATTATAACAAGTGCAAACCCTTGTGACTGCAATGCCTTGTACATAAAATATGTTCAGTATAAAAAGCTTTTGTCTTTGCTACACTTTCTCCATTGCTTACACAACCCTCATTATACAAAAAGGAGGTTATTTGGTTTGGATTTTTTACTGCCTTTCAGCCAGTTAATGTCAGTTTGCAGGAGGAATCAAAACATTCATGTGAATGACAGCCTAACTGGTACATCTTTAATAATGCTCTGACACCCAGTTTCGGAAACAAAAGTTGGTATTTCTCAGACATGAAGCTATTAATATACTCTTAGTACATGCTGTGAATTTTCAAGCCTTCTTCCTAAATCAGCACTTCTTATTTAACAGTGGGATCTCTACTCAAAATGCTTCATGTAGGCATGATTTCCAATGTCAAGGCAACAATCCTACAAGCAAGCCAATCCCACCACTGGATATTTTGTGCTCACCTTGAAATGGGTCATATTGTCCAGGTATGAGGGGGTAACCCATTCCAACATGTGTATGATGGTGCGTATGGAGATGCCGCTGGCTAAAAGGAGAATGGCGGTCTCGTTCCCTTTCTGCTTCCCGTTCACGCTCAGCTGCTGATTTTTCCACAGGCTAGTAACAGAAATTGAAAGAAAACTGATGTGGGAATTTTAGAAGGGATGAAATCACAAGAAAACCACACTTACCCCTACCTGTCAAACACTTTTTGAATACTAATGATAAAGCTAATTTTTTCTGAAGAAGTCTGTCTACTGATTATTTGCACTTGATTCTTATCTAAAGCTAGTCTTTCTAGCTAATGGAAGATTTTCCAAGGCACAGAGATTTTGAGGCAACATACTGCAGCTTGAAGCCACCACAATGACTTTTAGTTTTTTCCTGAAGCTTGGCTGGCTTGCCAATGCGTGGACAACCTAGCTGAGCTGCTGAAAGCTGATGTAAATGAATTCTCAAGCCTCTATAGCACTCTGGGGATCAAGCCTGACTGAAAAGCCAGAAAACCTTTTACAAATTATAATTACAGTCAATTACTTGCTCACAATTAAAACTAGCACCAACTTATCTGAAAGTGAAATATCAGTATTTGTTCCAACATGTAAATCCTCAGACGGTAAGATCGACGGAGAGATAGACAACAGGTTAGCAAAGGCATACAGTGCTTTTGGAAAACTCCACAAAAGAGTCTGGTGTAATAAACACTTGAAGAAAAGCACCAAGATCAGTGTTTACAAAGCCATAGTGTTGTCCACTCTCTTATATGGTTCCGAATCATGGGTCATCTACTGCCACCACCTACGTCTCCTAGAGCGCTTCCATCAACGCTGCCTCCGTTCAATCTTAAACATCCACTGGTCAGATTATGTGACCAACACATCTGTTCTAGAGCAAGCAGCTGTCACAAGTATTGAGGCCATGTTACTGAGAACGCAGCTGCGATGGGCAGGGCACGTCTCAAGGATGAAGGACCACCGCCTCCCTAAGATCCTGCTCTATGGTGAACTTGCCACTGGCTGCCGCAAGAGAGGAGACCCGAAGAGAAGATACAAGGACTCCCTGAAACAACATCTCAGCCTTGGCCATATTGATCATCATAACTGGTCTACTCTGGCCTCCAGTCGGGAGGCCTGGAGACACGCCATCTATAACGCAGCTGTCTCCTTCGAGAACACACGTAGGATCACTCTCGAGGAAAAAAGGCAACACAGAAAGAACCGTGTATTGCAGAATACACCATCTAAGGAGTCTTTCTGCTGTGCCTTTTGCAATCGGATATGTCTGTCACGTATTGGCCTCATAAGCCACCAGCGTGCCTGTAGCAAATGTGGATAGAGCCTTCCCAAATCTTCGTTCGCGAAGCCTAGCCGTGAGAAAAAAAAAAAAAAAAATCTTCAGAAATCGGGGCTGGTAATCTGCTCCTTGAAAGATGTGGATTCTTGGCAAATACAAGGAGGGGATACTACCAAATCCCATAGCCCCACTTCTTATTTCATTATCTGTTTCCAAACAGGAGCTTCCCATTTAACTACAATAAACTATGCTCCAGGAAGTACCTCTGAATCTTTGTTTCCGTATGAATCCATTCAAGATAGGAAGATTCTGAGGACAGAACTGTGCTACGTGTCACTTCCAGTTTATGCCACAGAAGCATCCTGATCATAAATTGCTTTTATTTTAAGCAGTGCTATAAAGAAGACTCATGCATTCACAGCTTGATGCCAGATTGTGTGCTTCTTAAAATGATGTTCTTTCTCTACCCCTGCCCATATGTAACCCTCTTCAGTAACAATTGAGGAAGCCTTACAACAGGTGACTTGCTGCGATACTGGCTGGCATGCTGCTGGAGCAAATCCAGTGCTTTGGACTCAGTGGTTGCTTTCGCATTGATGCTTGGGCTGGTATTGACCTTCTCTGTCTCTTCTCTCCCTGACATCTTCCCATAAACTGGATAATGAAATCCTGGAGAGAGATAGGCTCCTGCAGGTAAACAATAAATACCACATCAAGCTACTGTTTTTACATTTTGGTTATATCAGGGTAGGAGGAGGGAATGTCAGAACAGAGCATAACAGCAAAAGTAGATCACATGACTATCAAATGGCATCTTTGCTCTTCAATTTCATCACCTAATTTACCCTGATGAATGGAGGTTATAAAGAGAGTTCAGTTGATAGCCATTTCAGACATTTATGGGTCCTCTTTAAGTGAAAGGAATAGTAACTATAACGTTTCTGACAGTAAGTGCTTAGAATATTTTTATAGGCAATAAACTATCTGTCAGTCTAACAGCAATAGCAGACTGTCAAGGGTTGAGAAACTTGTAGCTGGGAACTGTGACAGTTCATAAAAGGACCATCTTGTATTAAATCAGTTTCATTTACAGAACTTTGCCTAGTAGAAGCACAAGCAACACAATGCCACCCATGAAGCTTCTAATTTACCCTAGCTACTATAAGAAATATTAAAATGTAGGCTTTACTGCAACTTGAGGGTGAAAATTGTAACTATTGGTGCAAGGCAAATTTCAGAATACATACCAGGAGAGACTGCGCGATAGGCTGGATGGTTGGGATCGTACATCTGTGGATACGGATAAGCATGCAAGTACTGGATATATGACTGATGCTGACTCATTGGTGAGGAAACTGCTACTCTAGCACCTCGAGAGTCCTTCCAATTTACAGGAGTCTTTTGATCATCATTTTTTATCTTGCTCTCATCCACTGATTGAGAATCAGAACGCTTGACCTCTTTAGGCTCCTCTTTAATGCTTGCTAATGAGACAGGAAGGTTAGGCAGGGAACTTTCCTTGTTCGGTGTTTTTCTAGGGCTGTCTTCTTTTAACTTTTTCTCACGATCAAGTTCTTCTGATTTTTGCTGATCAAGGTATTTGGGCTGATAGACATAATGATGCCATGTTCGTGAATCTGGATCCTAATACAGAGGAGAAAAAAATTGTTCTGAACTTAGATGTTGAAATAAGTTCATTATTGATATTTCCCATACTTCAGTTAATGTATTTTTAATAGCTGTTTTAATACCATATCCATATTACAGAAAAAAGAGGTTTGCTTGCTACAGAGTGCCTTGAGCTCAAAGTCAAACCAATATTCCCATGAAGGAGCAAGAGACTATTATCAAAATTTAATTCAATTGCTTCATCTTATATCCTTCTTCATGCCTTTAACTAGTTTAATCATGAAATACATATGCATTGTAACAAAGTTCTGAAACCATGCTATTCATAAAACATTTTAATTAAAGCCCACAGAGAGATTTTCCCACTAGAGAGCAAAAAATATCTGTGAACCACAAAATTAAAATTAAAACTGGCTAATATTATGCTAGAGTACTTAGAATACCTGGAACAATGCACATGAAAAACTGATGTAGCTGAAACGATGCTGCCTCCCATTTGGGAATCAGCAGAAGTCAGACATTAAAGCAGACTTCTTCAGCTGACAGTCTTACTTCAAGTTCGTAAAATTACACATGGGTAATTATAGGATTATAGATAGGTAATTATAAATTATAGGATTAGGACCACATGGTTTAAAGAGCATGTACTGGGCACTGTAAATACCTTTTTACACATTATATTACACCAGTTTATAAACATACCATAGGTATGTGATTTCTTTAAAACACCACACCAAATCAGTACCAAGAAGTAACAGGAAAACTTCTTTTTCTAACACAGAAAATGCAAAAGCTAACTGTAAACATTTTCTCCAACTGACAGACATTTATGGCACATGCCACAAAAAATATAAGCACACAGCTAGAGGCTTGGACAGTCTGGCTTAAATACTCATTTGAATCAGCAAAAATATTATCCTGCTTAGGGCTAACTCCCACTCCCCTGACCATACTGTATCTTGAAAGACAGTGCGTAAGGGTAAAGTTTGGGATGTACCATACACCAGAACATGAAAGCATCAAGCATTGAGGCTCCAGTTCAATGCACAGAGACAGTCGCATTGCCTCAAATGAAGACATCTAGGAAGGTCAGCATGAAGCCACTGGATAAAATTCTGGTTCTACTGAAATCAATGGCAAAACTATCACTGACTTCAATGGAGAGAGGATTTCATCCATTGTGTAGGTCTGTAGGGGCTTGAGGTTGGTTGAGGGGAGAAGGGGAACTTAACTGCTTCAAAAAGGTCACCTTGGGTTAAGATAAAGAGCTATGCTTCAAGTCAACTCTTCAAAGAACCAGCTCACCCATCTTTAGTAAATGCCAACTGTCTTTTAACAAAAAAAAGAAACACTTCAAACCATGTTTCAAATCTGCTTTAAGTCCTCTCGCAATGAAACTGCTTATTTTTCCTGAAATTTCTTATTTCTCAACTAAGCAAAATGCTTAGAATTTACATCTAAAAGAGAAACCTGATTCTATTTCATTCATGCATATAATTTAAAATAGTCTATTCAGGTCTTAAGCCTAGGTTCTGTCACCACCTTACTAGAATTTTTAATTTATTTTTTTATTCTTTTCAAATAGCTCAACTGGAAGGTCTATTGGTCTATTCACAGACTACAATACCATACGGTGTAAAAAAAGGATGGTGGAGCTTGTTTGGCTGCAGAGGTAGAAGAACATATCAGAACCAGGGAGAAAATCTCACATGACTTAAAGATAAATCAAGACTCTCTTGTTCCACTTCCTGTGATCTCACCTGTTTAAATCTTGTGGTTGGATCTACTCCTGTTTGCTTCATGGAGTCCATAACAGATTTCATCTCCACTGCCTCCTTTATAAGCTGGTGGTTTTCCATTTGTTTTGCTTTGAAACTCTCCGACTGAAGCTGCTGCTGATGATTGGAAAGGATCTGTGACTTGGTTGTCTCCTCACCTTTGTTAGGAACTGATGACCCTATTTTAGTGTTATTTTTGCTGGACTCTGGAGTTGAAGGGGCCTTTGAAATAGTGGCAGATGGAATATTCTTCTGCTTGTTGTCATCCTTCCCAATCTCCTTTAAGGGGGGGTCATTCTTCCTTTCACAGTCCCTCCCAGTTTGTGCCATTTTCTGTTCTGCTAGTCTCTGGTCCTCGTAGTATTTTTCATACTGCTGCCTGTAAGCAGGGTTAGAGGCCATTAAGGACTTTTGGTCCATATAGAGCCCATAGGCATACTGTCCATAATAAAGTGACTGAGCAAGTGCAGGGTGCCTTTGCGTTATTACCGACTGATGTTGTGGTGGCTGCAAATTAGAGGAAGTGCTTTCGCTTTTCTTGGCATCTGATGCTTCTGCCTTCTCTTTCTTTTCAGCCTCTTCCTCAGCCTCTTTTTTGATCTTCAGTGTCTGTGGGGTACTGCTGTTCCCAGCTGCTGGGGCACTGACCTGTCCAGAGTGCAAGTAACTTGGGGAATAATAAGGATCATAGCCATGGTAATAGGGAGAATGAGACTCTTTTGCTTGAGCCGATTGTGCTGTGGTTGAAGAATGTCCTTTTACAACACCATCTTTATTAGAAATAATATCTGATGGAGAGCTGGCCTTTGACCTCATGCCCTCTGACCTGCTGTCAGAGCCACCATCATCAGCTGCATCAGAAATATCTGAGTAAGCAGGGCTGTTGGTTTTGGCAGCTGTGCTATCTGCACCATTTTGTGTCAACACATGCAGTGGCGCCATAGCAGATTGTCCATTCACCAAAGTGCTGCATTCCATCCTGGAGGCACTCCCTATGGAAGGGCTGGGCGCATTGTCTGTGAACGTGTAAACTTTATCAGCTTCAGCCTTAATACTTGCCATCCTGCTCTCTTGAGACTCTGACAGTCCATTAGCTAGCACTTCATTCTTGTTGAGATGGTCCTTTAAAAAATGTCCAGATAAGTCTTTCCCAGACCCTTTTGAATCCTCCAGCTTTCCCAGCTTAGAATCCATCTTGGGGCTGCCCGTCTCCTTGCTTTCTTTGTCCTTCAGCTTTCTCTTCTCCTTTTTCTTTTTGTCTTTGAGTGATGTGAGAGCTGGGTTTACAGTGCTTGGCTCTCCCATAATTGTGGGCTTTGGTTGAATAGGTTTCAGTGGAGGGCTCTTTGGTGTAGCCTGAACAATAGTAGTTGTTAGAGAGGGCAATCCCGGTATTGTCCCTGTAGTGGTGGTTGTAAAGGCTGTAGTAGGTATAGCTATTAATTGGGGAGGAGTTGGTGCTGGCGCTGGGGCAATGGGCCTGGCTGTTTTCAGTTTGGAAAGGTTTTTATCCACTTTGCAATTGTTCGATTTCTTGCCTTTATCACCCAAACTCTTCTTGTCAATTAAGCCTTCAGCCTCCAATTTCGGCATTTCAGTTTGCAAATTGCCATCTGCTACTGAGCAATTATCCAGTGTGGCTGCCATATTAGAAATTACTGGAAGGCTGTTCAGTTCACTGTTCAGACCCTTCTTTTTGCCAGAATTCTTTCCAGTTTTGGAACTGATAACTGAACCAGGGCCATTGCTGGTCAGTTCCCGCTTTCCCTTGGGAGTCCCTGGGGTAGTAATGGAGGAAGGAGATGTTGGTGCTTTTAGTGGATCAAAGCCTGGCAAATTTGTGCTTTGCTCACTGCATTCAAGTGCCACATTACTCAGTGCTTCCTCACAGTCTGAAATTTTGTCTTCACTGTCAGGTTCAAACTCCAGCTTGTTTTCGGGGTCCAAATGTGCATGAGCCTGATGATAACGTAATCCATTAATGTGCTTGTACTTTTTGTTGCAGTTTGGGTGAGGACAGTCAATCAGCACTGGAGAAGAGCAGCCTTGGTCCAAAAAATTAGTCTCCGGTTTCCCCTGTGGGGTGGTGGGAGTGCTTCTAGAGTTAGTACGAACACGTTTTCCGGATTTATTGTCCTCCGAACTGGAGTTTAAATCTAGCTCCATAGGAGGCTTAGTTTTCCTCTTGTTCGTGGATGAGGGGCTGGCTTTTACTTCATCCATGGCGCAGTTGGGGGGTGTTCTGCGCCCACTGGAGTTAAGGCTGCCCCTCCTCCCCTTCCCATTGGCACCACCTCGATTCTTATTCTGAAGCCCTCTGGACTCTGCAAAACTTGCATCATTACCAGGTACAGTGGCAGCTGCAGCGGACCTTGCCCGCTTTCCCCTGCCCCGTCCTCCACGCATTTCCAGGTCACTTGTTGGTGATTCACAAAACCT